AGTTTGTATTATGTATAAAAGAAACATTTGTGCTTTTAAATCCTTTCATTTTATAACTGTAATACCTTTGAATAATTTAGAAAAAATGGTGTCAAGCAGATTTCGTCTGCGACCTTTGGAATTTACCATTTAATTCCAATGCTCAACTGACCTGCAAATCACAGATTTTAACAGTCAAGGGGCCATTTTGCACCAGGTTCACCTGGTTCCCAGAACACTCCTGGTAAAGCGGTGACATTGATTAGAATAGGGAGCCATTTTACTAACCTTCCATCAACGCACTAATTTAGAAGAAAAAAATCAAAATTCCATGTGTATACTAGGTTATTAGATTACATTTGAATCAAATAGGTTGGGTTAGTTCCAAATAGGTTTAAATAGGTTAGTTTTATAAACACAAGGTAATAAGACCATATCCAAATACATAAATAGTGTATAAAATGAAAGGATTTAAAAGCACAAATGTTTCTTTTATACATAATACAAACTTCTACTGCCCTTACTGCGATGAAAAAATATATTGGGAGGGCTTGGCTCATCAGTGGTGAACCCTCCCAGTGGTTTCGCCAATTTAATCCACCAGACCGCTTCTAAAGAGCTCTAATACTGTATTGGACGATTCTGCTTATATACACAGCACTGAAGGATGGAATCTCAGAAATGGTTTTCAAGAAAACTATGGACATATACATTATACAAACTATATACATTATTTGTATAGATGGCGCGTTATTACTTTGTGTTAATTTAAGCCTAACTGGCCTTGTCTTTATTGTTTGCGGAAGAACATTGCTCGATGCAAATATTTGAATGTAATTCTACTGTCCTATAAGCTTATACTGTCAAATTATATTGACAAATATTTGCAATCTTATCTTATCTCAGGTTTTAGTGGAAAGAATTTTGTTTTCGTTTGTTTGTGAACAAATCTCTCCCGCCTTCTCATTGGACGAATGTGGCCATGTTTGTATATAAAGGGGGGCTATGGTATTGTCGTGAGGAGTGTGGTGGATTATCGTGTGGAGACGCTTAAAGTGTTCTCTGCGTGCGTGTCTGGCTATCTCCTCACATACCTGTGTAACCCCGGTCCTGCTCCCTACCAACGCAACAATAAAGATAAGTGCTGTTTTTGTATTTTATTTATAATAACAAATTGTGAGCTATTATTTATTTATTTATTTGTGTGTTGCAATCCTGAGTGTACGCTTTTTGTGCGTTTAGTTAATCTTACTGTAGGCCTTAGATTATTGAAACTTTGTGTGTTAACCCGTATATAGACCAATTTGTCAATATCCATAGTTTTCTTGAAAACCATTTCTGAGATTCCACCCTTCAGTGCTGCTTATATAAGCAGAATCGTCCAATACAGTATTAGAGCTCTGAGAAGCGGTCTGGTGGATTAAATTGGCAAATCGCTGGGAGGGTTCACCACTGATGAGCCAAGCCTTCCCAATATTTATTTTCATCGCAGTAAGGACAGTAGAAGTTTGTATTATGTATAAAAGAAACATTCGTGCTTTTAAATCCTTTAATTTTATATGTATAGATGGCGCGTTATTGCTTTGTGTTAACATAAATAGTGTGTTCACACTATGTATTTGGTCTCAATACCTTGTGTTTATAATCTAAATTGTACTTTAACATAGTTTTAGATAGGTTGAATAAGGTTGGTTTAGGTTATTTTAAAGGGGGTTGGTGGAAGGCTGGTTAAACCGTTTGGTTTTCGACCACTACGACCCGGGTTCGATTCCCCCATTGGACACTTTTTTTCTGATTTAATAAAATGCTCCAATGGCCCCCGATTCTTGCAAAAGTCCAACCCCACCAGCGAGTGCAAGTAACCAAATGGGGCTCTGGCACATTTGTAAGTGCAAAGTCTAACTGCTTTTCACATGTGTAGACATGTGGTGCACATACAGTAAAAGCAGTCGCTAACTACCCACTATGATTATCATGGCCTGTACCATGTGTACTAGGGATAATTATAAAAAAAAAGGTTATTTTAAATTAATATAAAATGGTATTACAGTAGAACCTCCAAATGAGAGGACACTCACGCTAAAGGACACCTCTCTATAAAGGACAGTTTTCATCGCCAAAAATACCATTTTTACTATTTAGCAACTCTCTGGTAAGAGGACACCCTCTCCTTAAAGGACACCTTGGCTCTGCAATTAGGTGTTGTCCTTTACATGGATGTTCTACTGTATTAAAAACATATTACTTTTATTTAATTACTTAGTATACGTTTTTAAAAGGGGTGAATACACAATGATGCTCTTTGTTTACATTTTGCCAAATTTTGCCCAAAATCTCCTGAATTGAATACTGTAGAACCTCCTTTTAGAGGACACCTCTCTACAAAGACAGTTTTCATTTGCAAAATTACCATTTTTACTATTTAGCAACTCTCCTGTAAGAGGTCACCTCTCCCTAAAGGACACTTTGGTTCTGCAATTAGGTGTTGTCTTTACAGGTAGGTTCTAATGTACTTAGATTTGTAAACCATAAACATTAGTCAAGAAATAACAACAATGAATGATGTTTATATTTATATTAAGTTTTGTTTTTGTATTTTTCTAAATAATCACACACATACAACATATAGGCTTGTGTAAATTTAGGGAAGAATAGGTGTTGCTGTAAAATCATCCTAACTGATAGAATTTTCATTGATTAAAAATATTAAGTTTTCACAAATGAGGAGAGACTATAGAATAGAATGCTGAGAGTATTACCTATTTTATAAATGTATTCATAGTGACAAAGAATTTTAGTTGTTTTCAAAAGCAATATTGTGTGATATACATAATAAAAATAACAAAACCCCTTGGATACATGTGTATATCAAAAATAATTTTGTGTTAAGTAACATTATATTGACATTTGTGTAATTCATTTTTTCCTTTGATATTTCATTTCTTAATTAGTCCACATGCATATCAAAACTCTAATGAATCAATATTGAAATTTTTTTCTAACTAAAAAAATATGAATTTCCAATTTTAAAATTCTATTCTAAGTGATTGTTTAGATAAGGTAAACAATAATAAATATTTAAAAAACATTGGGAATGTTGACACTTCGGCTGCTAAGAAATGAAAAATTAAATTAAGGTGTATAAGCGTTTGTATTTAATATTAGAGCTTTATTATGTATTGGCATAAAGTTTGTGCGGCTAATAGTGTTAGTATTGTTATTACTACCACAGTTTTGTTATCGACGCTAAGGCTACTTGTGCAAATATTTAATTGTCGTCATGAATTAACGACAAAAAAAGACCGGTTACTTAGGTGTTTTTTAAAGGGTTAAACAAAATAAATAAAAGGAGTTTCTGTTCTTACTAGAATTCTTTTAAAAAATGCATTTTCCTTTGGAGGAAGAGGTTGGCTAGGAGACATCTCTCGTTATTATCCAAGATAAAAATAGTTTAAAACAAATGTTGTTTATATTCGTAAACTTTATCCGCAACTATGCTTAAAACCTCGTGGCATTATCATAAAAATGGCGGATAAATTGTAAAACATCGTCGGCGATGATGATATTTGGCTTGCACCAATTTTTCATTTTTCAAATATTTTTCAATTTATTTTAATTTGACTAAATTGAGCTCGTTGGATATTTACTAAATAAATAATAATATATTTTGAAAATAGAGCAATCCATACTTAATTCATTAGATAAAAAAGGCATATATTGGATTTGATAAAATAATAAAAATTTTCCAAATAATAATGCATAAAAACCAATTTTTTTTAATTTAGTTAGCTTCAAAAATATAGTTTTAAAGATGTGCTTGCACAAGCTTTTCTATATTTTTTCTTTAATTAAAAAGGCATATATTGGATCAAAATATCATTTATATATATCTATATTTTTCTATGTTTAGGAAATTTGTATAAATAGCCTTCTTTAAAACTTCAAAAATGCCCTTTTTCAAATATTTTAGTTGAGACATAGACCTTTTTATTATTATTATTATTTCGCTAAGCAGAGAAGCAAATTTGCGTCAAATAATTCCATATTCCGATTTTTTTATTGCGAAGATTTTCATTAAAAGTTTATGTTTACAAGTTTTTGTTCTGATTAGGTGTCCTTCAAATTTTCTATCAAATGCGCACTATGTTATATCAAATAATAAAATGAAATATGTATTATATTAACTACATGAAGTAGAGAGACCTATAAATTAAATATAAAATACATATATAAAGGTTATAATTGACAGGTTATATTATAATTAAGAGAGAAAATATAAAAAATACATTATATATATTTATATTATTATTTCATTATATTCAACGCGTGCTTTTTAAATGTCTGGGTAAACATTTTTTTAAGTTCATATTGTATTCATTTATAGATATTAACTATTTAATAGTTATTTATTATTTTCTACCAAATCGCGCTTTTTCCTTCTCTTTGAAACCTGATATTGTGGAGCCTGCTTCTGCGGCCTCCACAAAGCTCACCCACAGTGCCTAATAGAAAGCTGGTGGACAATGGTGATGCTGCCTCGACAAGAACGAAGCGGACTTCGAGAATTCTTCATTGTCAAACCAGCCCATCTCTTCACCTCTTTTATTACTTAATTTTTTTATGTATATAATTTATTATAATAAATTTCCTTTATAATAAACTAGACGAATGACCTGGGCAACGCCCGGGTTTACCCGATTAAATGTTTTATTCAAACACTATTCGTTACAATTATAAATTGGCGCCGTGGATGTCACTCTTGTGAAACGTCCCGCTCCAAACTTTACAGTCAGATTAGTTACGATATAAATCTTCAAATCGAGCGAGCGTCTATAAATATTTCGATTTAGATCAAGTATTCTAATTAGTAAGCGAACTATTATTAATAAAAATTTGAAAAGATTTCGATTTTAAACGTATTTATAACCTTGATAGAGGGCGCTGTTCGTGAGCTAAGTAGAATAATTTGAATATATAGTTTTAATATTTAATTTATATATAATTTAAAATAACATATCGTTGTCCTAGGTAGCCTAGTGGTCATGGCATCTGCCCAGTGAAGGTCGTGGGTTCGATTCCATCCCTTGACACTTTTTTTATTTTATCCATTCTGACCAAAATCTATCCGTGAACTTCACACAGTGAACTTCACACAGACAGAATAAGGCAATTATATATAATAAATAAATAATTATCATTAGATAATTACAATTACAAATACAATTATTTTATTTCCAAAGCGCTATATCCCGCAAGGGGATACTTGCGCCAAACAAGGAGAAAAGTTTATTTACAAAAGTTATTTACATTATTCAAGTATGAAAACATTAGAGATCCAGATTTTGTAGAAATTTTAGAATGTATTTACAAAATGAATTGAACTTTAAATATGATTTTTTACTGGAAATCAAATCGTTAAGTTCACAAACCACTAGTTCATTCTTCATTCTATAATCTTGAAATGCTGGGCAATTGATCAGTAGATGTCTTGAGGTTTGTTCCTCCATACCACAAAAGCAACTTGAATCTTCCACTGCCTTTATTCTATTTAAAAAACTTTTGAAATTTCCGTGGTTTGTAACAAATTGAGTATTATAAAAATTTGGACGAAAGTATTTAGGGATTTCATGGGGAAAAAAGCTTAAGAAAGTATTATTTGCTTCGTTTTTCAGAACATTCATTCTTGATTTGAGAAAGGTATCTATAATTCCTGGAATAAATGGGTCATAAATTTGTTGATCATCTGTGGATAAGTTTCTCAGATCAGATATCATGATTCTGGATTCGATAAAGTCTGAGGTCAAAGGAATGTTGGCCAAACTATGAACACAGCTATATGATGTGGATTTATAGGCTTGTATACACCATGTTAGTATTTGATATTGGGTTGAATTTAATTTTTGTAAACATTTTTATTTAAATATTTGAACCAAATTTCGGCTCCATATGTATGTATTGGTCTGAAAATGGATTTATATAAAGTTAGCCTTTTCTGGGTGCTTAGACCCCCAAGATTTCCCGCAAATTGAGAAGAGATAATTTTTAAAACGTTTTGTACGATTTACTATTTCTTCTATGTGGTATGTAAAATTTATTTTGTTTCTTCTTCTGTGATTTGCAATTATTATTCCTAAAATTTTGGTCTTCAGAGTTGGTATGATTATTTCTTTATTAAATTTGATTGGGATTTTTTCTTTGTTATGTAAATAAAGTATATTAGTTTTTTCTAGACTTATTTCAAGTTTGTTACTCTTACACCATACATCAATCGTGTTTAATGCCTTTTCTATAACTAATTTCAGGTCTTTGCAATTGTTGTGCCAGCATATAATTGATACATCATCCGCATAACATACCACTTCACTATAGGAACTTGATATTTGATCAAAGATCGTTTAGTAATATTATCCATAGTAGTGGAGATAACGGCCACCCTGCGGACATCCCTTTGTAATTTGTTTATTTATTGTTAGTTCTCATATGTAAATTTCGTTTTCCTCGAATTGAAATATGATTGAATAGTCCTTATTAAACTTTCCGGCAAATTATCTTCATCTATGATTTTTAAAATCGCAGGCCACCATGCGTTATCAAAGGCTCCCGCAATATCTATTGTGACCAGAGCTGTCAGTTCTTTGGTTTTGTGTTCCATTATTATATCGATTATATTACTCAAGGCTGTAATAGTAGATTTTGATTTGATGAATCCATGCTGTTTGGGACTTAATAAATTGTTTTGCATATAATATTCATTTCTTTTTAATAACTTTTTCGTAGATCTTAGACAGATTAGATGTTAACGAAATAGGTCGATAGCTTTTTATTGATTCGACGTTAGATTTGTTTGGTTTCATTAGAATTTTTAATACTGTCGTTTTCCATTCCTCTGGAATGATCATAATGATAAATAAATAATTATCATTAGAAAATGATAATGATCATAAGATGATGCGCGGGTTGATGACCAAAATCTATCCGTGAACTTCAACACAGATAGAATAAGGCAATTATATAAGTAGATAATCAGCTATTTTTTGTTTTAATATATATTTTCAAATAATATTCGTTATTTAAAATAATATTTTGAATAATATTTTTTATTTTTTTACACTGTTAAAAAAAAATCTTAGCGGTAAATTTGAGGAAGGCAGTAAGATAGGGAGAGCGTAGGAGAGATAGCGGTAGTGGAGTTGAGAGCAATGTCCTTAGAAATTAGTCCAAAAATGTAGTCTTTCAAAATTTAGTGGACGAAATTTTCCAGCCATCCAACTGAAGCACCAAAATAAGAAAAGTAACTTTTCATTATATTTTTTAACAGGTTAAATTTATGCATATTTTCTCAATTTATTCTCATTTTATTTTTCTTTCTTATCTGTCTGTGACCATTTCAATAGACAAATAAATATGATAATTTGTTCAGAATCTCAACTTTGACTCTGAGTCATTAATTTAGAGTCAATTATTTTGACCCCAGTGCGCGCAGGATATTTTACAAGTTGTATTTGTAATTTCAGAAGAAGGTTCTCGTCTTTTCAATGGCACCCCACATTGGGTGAGCTTCTTTGTGGTGACCGCAGAAGCAGACTCCACATTATTATCTTTTTAAAATTCTTTGAGTGCGCATAATTTCCAGATGTACTCTAGATATAAAAATTTTTTTTTTGAAAAATTTCACTATCATATGTATCTATTATGATATACAGTGTTAATGTCTATATGTATGCATAAATGTTATCGGTTTACCTCGATCGCTGATTGGTTCTCTATCATTTGACCTCAGCTATCCAATAAACGATTAGTTCATTAGTCCATTCAGATTACAATGTTTTTATCTCAGTATTTTCATCGATTCTATATTAAATATAAAATCGTTGGTACATTTCTTGAAAGTTCGCTCTTTAAAAAAAAAATTAAAATAATTTTATCATTCTAATTGTATTTTCAAAAATAAATGCATTTAAGACTAGTGGATGTACCAGGCTTCGCTCAGGTAGAACCAGAGTGAAAGTTTGCTTAACAAATATTTGATTAAAATATTTTGCGAGCAAACATCCATACTATACTGAATCGATTTTGATAAATATATATCCATATATATCTTTATAAAATCCGATTCACAGGAGAGAGTGGACAGACAATTTTTTTTTTAGACAATTTAAACAGGAGAGCGTGGATGTTGGCTCGAAAAATATTTTCGATTTTTTATAAATCTAAATATTAATTAATAAGCATATTTTGGATAGAAAATGAAATAAAACATTTTTATTTATATTGCCACGTGGAAAATTAGGGAAGACAAAAACTTCAGGAGGAAACAAAATTTATTTCAGGGAAGGACAAACTAAGAAAGGTAAACAAAAGATAAGCCACGAGGGGAATTTACAGAGTAGCAAAATATAAATATGAAAATGACCACTCTGTTAATAAAAATAATAAAATGAATAAATACTTGGTTACATAGCTTCTTCCCTATGGGAGCTGTGACCCACAGCTAGCAATTATTATAGATACTGACATGGATCTGACGTGCTTCTGCCAAGGATTCCATCGAAGTCTTGGAACTTTGTCCCTAGTACCTTTGCGTCCTTTATCTTGCGGCGTGAAGAGCGGCTTTGTCGTCGTATCGTCTATAGGGACATCGTCATCTTCGAGGGAAGTCTTGGCTTTAGCACGGCGGTGGAATCCTGGAGTCAGTCTCCGAAAATGTAGATCACAGCACCCATGGCTTCAAGGTTTTCTCGGCGATCTTCAGTTTGTCTTCCCTAACTTACCCAGCATCTCCACCAAAATGCCACGTGGAAAATTAGGGAAGACAAAAACTTCAGGAGGAAACAAAATTTATTTCAGGGAAGGACAAACTAAGAAAGGTAAACAAAAGATAAGCCACGAGGGGAATTTACAGAGTAGCAAAATATAAATATGAAAATGACCACTCTGTTAATAAAAATAATAAAATGAATAAATACTTGGTTACAATATCAAAAATCCAATATTTCGCTAGTCTGCACGTCTATCTTCATCAGGGTTTTCCGTTATTTATATGAATATAAATATATATTGATTTTTATATAGAGAGAGATAAAAATCTTATTGAAAGCATCTTATAAAACAACAATAAAATTTACATAGAGCCTTCACTCGAGCATGTTTGTCAATGCTGAATTTGAATATACAAATTGCCAAACAGCTTAGGCTATGGAGGGCAGGGTTCCCAGCTTTAGGTTCTCAAGAAAGATCCAGGGCAGGGTCCTCCATTTATGGCGCCTGGAGACTGCGGGTTCACTCCTCTACTCCTTCCAGTACTTGGTTCTTGTCCTCTCCTCGGTCCTGGGGAAGAGGTTCTCTTTGTGGGCAGGCGAGTCTTGACTTTGGCTCCTGTTGGATGGTATTCTTCCTAATCCTAGTGGGTCCGGACATCTACAGGTCCTTGAAGGAGAGAACCCAGGATCATGAATGCCGACTCCCAGCGAACTTCTAGGTAAAGCTGGTTCCTCCTTCTTGTCCTCTAGGAGATATGGGGGATAAGGTACCTGTGGTCCTAGAACCCCCAATGATATAGAATCGAGAATTCTTGTGGTTTCTGAAATGGCAGCTGCTTGGACTCCCTTCATAGGGATTAGACCTCATCTTGCAATGAGGCTTCTTTTCTGAATTACTGGTCCCTAGGGGTGTTGTTGTAGTATCTTAAGCAGGCCTGGGTCTATTCTTCAATGGCCCGATCCTGTATCTGTAAGGAGGTTTAGGTCATCTAGCGTTCTTTTTGAAGTCCATGGGGTGGGATCTCTTGCTGTTCTTGGTCTCTTCTTTTTCGGACCTGTCTGAGGCTGGGCCTCATGTGGGCATCCGTCCGTGTCCTTCCTATATCCTATATGTTGAGAAGAAAGGTTCTCTAAAGGTCTGGTACACTCAGTACTTGGAATGGGCCGGACCTTGTGCTTCACTAGTTCGAAATATTCTACTGAACAAGGTTTTACCACTTCTTCTAGTTCAGATAGTTCACCTAAACAAAATTTCACTCCTTCTAGCTGAGGTGTCGCCCCTACATCAACGTGGGGTTCCTGAACGGCCAGATCAGTAGTCTCTAGTGATA